AGATACGAGCAAATTGACTTACGCGAAAGGTTACGGAACGACTTAAATTCGTATCTAGAGGTACCACTGTATATAAATATATATATATATATACAGTGGTTTATTAAACTCGCGTATCAAAACTGAAAATGTATTTCCCCTGCTTAACATTAAAATTAATAGATATAATTGATTGCTTTTTAATTTTTAATAAAACAAACACAAATTTTAGCCTTGCATTTTTAACATTTAATTTTTTTTTTTAACTTATTTAATTCCACAAATAAACTCTTATTAAATAAATAACGTAATAGAGACTAACCTTTAAAAATACCTCTAATAAGAAAATGACGTTTAGGTTAATCAGTGCAGCGAAACTCAATAGGCAAATTGTATTCATTAAATTGTACTTCTGAGAGAGTTGCATTGGCTGCCGGTGCGTGCTCGCATAGAGTACAAAATCGCAACTTTGTGCTACCGCTGCTTACATGACCTGGCGCCGTCCTACCTGAAAGAGCTGCTGACGCCTTATGTATCCTTCCTGTCGATCTTAGAAACAACCAGACACTGGAGTCCTTTAAAACAGATCTAAAGACACATCTATTTCGCAAATACCTTCTGGGATGATTGTCTACCTTATTTTCCATGTGTTGCTGTGTTGCTTAGTGTTGAAATGGCCAGAAAGACTTTGATATTGTATGCTTGTAATTAGTTTTTGTAGTGTTGTGTTTGTTTTAAATGTGGTGAATTATAGATTGTTTTTTGTTGACTTTGTACCGCGCTTCGAGCCTTTGGGGATGAAGCGTGTTTTTTTTAAATGAACTTTATTATTATTATTATTAATCCACGTACAACTCATTCAAATAAGAACAAACCATATGAAGTGCAAAATATGTTAGTAAGGGTACGGAAGGGACTACAATCCGGTAGAAGATTGTATTATTTTTAATAAACAATGTTGATTGGTCGGGGGGGGGGGGGGTTGGTCATTTTCCCTACGGCATCACAAGGTAAGTCACAAAATAAAGGAATTATTTTGATAAATAATTAATCCTCTTGGGTACATTCATATCGGAGCGGTGAAAAAGGATGTATACACTTTTACATGGATGACAATGTATTTAAATGCTATGATATTAAATTTGTGAAAAAGGAGATGTTACATTCGCATTTTACAAATAAACACATGTTGAACAATTTCGAAAATCAATGGCGTTAACAAATTTTGAGTACATTTATATAAGCAAACCAATGAATATCAAAACCCAATCATTTTAGACAGTTGAAAATTTTATCTTGAAAAATGGAGATTGGTTAATATTTTTTTTTAAATAAAGGAAACTAAATTTGTTTTTTTCACTTTGTGAAAAGTAAAGTGGGTGTATATAATTATGAGATTATCAATTTTTTAAAAAAAGACACCCAATTCCGTTATAAAAGTAAAAAACGGTTTCAAGATTCTTCTTTTGATTAAAGAATTTTTTGCTTCATGATTTTCTGATAATTTATAATTTTAAAAAGTAAAAGGCAAAAGTGTTTTCAAATTTTAGATAAAGATATCAATAAATATCAATTTCCTGTAAAATAAAATATATTTAAATCATATATAGAGTTTTTTTTTCTCTAAAAATGGTTAAAAAACATAATCTTAAATTTACAAAATTTTTTTTGTAAATTTAAGATTATGTTTTTTAACCATTTTTAGAGAAAAAAAGTTGTAATTCTAGGGCACGAAAAGCGGTAAATCTAATGTATTTCTCTAAAGTAGAAGTCGTCCCTTAATTATCATCTTTAGTGACGAAAGTGATATAGGCTAGATCTAATTAGTGATAGCTTATATTGGGTAATTTAAATTCATATTTAGAAGGGAAAAAGTAGTTTAGGAGCGTGAAAGGGAGTAGGTAGGCGTATAATATATAGCAGATAAATACTTTTCAAAACTTAATGCTGTTAGAAACTTAAATATCATATAACTAAAGTTATGAATAGTGATGAGTTTTTGGAATAGCAGGTAGAAATTTTAGCAATGGACCTACCATTATAATCCCGATAATATCGGATCATTTATTCTAGTATATAAGTAATATATTTATTGGTATACCAACCACTAGAACAAAGTTAGAGTGAATTAGGTATATTTAGTACAAGATATGGTAGTGTAGTAGGAGATTAGATAGTACAAGATGTTTTAATACAAGATGGGTTAGTACAAGATGAGGTAGTAGAAGATGTGGTATTACAAGATGGGGTAGTACAAGATGTCGTATTACAAGATGGGGTAGTACAAGATGTTGTAATACACGAAATGGTAGTACAAGATAGGGTAGTACAAGATGTTGTAGTACAAGATGGAGTCGTACAAGTTGGGGGTACAAGATGGGGTAGTACAATTTGGGAGGTAAAAGATGGGATAGTACGTTTTGGGAGGTACAAAATGGGGTAGTTCATTTTGGGAGGTACAAGATCGGGTAGTACAAGTTGGAAGGTACAAGATGTGGTAGTACAAGATGTGGTAGTACAAGATGTGGTAGTACAAGATGTGGTAGTACAAGATGTGGTGGTACAAAATGTGGTAGTACAAGTTGTGTTAGTACAAGATGTGGTAGTACAGGATGTGGTAGTACAAGATGTGGTAGTACAAGATGTGGTAGTACAAGATGTGGTAGTACAAGATGTGGTAGTACAAGATGTGGTAGTACAAGATGTGGTAGTACAAGATGTGGTAGTACACGTTGTGTTAGTACAAGATGTGGTAGTACAGGATGTGGTAGTACAAGATGTGGTAGTACACGATTTGGTAGTACAAGCTGTGGTAGTACAGGATGTAGTAGTACAAGATGTGGTAGTAAAGTTGTGTTAGTACACGATGTGGTAGTGCAGGATGTGGTAGTACAAGATGTGGTAGTACAAGATGTGGTAGTACAAGTTGTGTTAGTACAAGATGTGGTAGTACAGGATATGGTAGTACAAGATGTGGTAGTACAAGATGTGGTAGTACAAGATGTAATAGTACAGGATGTCGTAGTACAAGATGTGGTAGTACAAGATGTGGTAGTACAAGATGTGGTAGTACAGGATGTAGTAGTACAAGATGTGGTAGTACAAGTTGTGTTAGTACAAGATGTGGTAGTACAGGATGTGGTAGTACAAGATGTGGTAGTACAAGATGTGGTAGTACAAGTTGTGTTAGTACAAGATGTGGTAGTGCAGGATGTGGTAGTACAAGATGTGGTAGTACAAGATGTGGTAGTACAAGTTGTGTTAGTACAAGATGTGGTAGTACAGGATATGGTAGTACAAGATGTGGTAGTACAAGATGTGGTAGTACAAGATGTGGTAGTACAGGATGTAGTAGTACAAGATGTGGTAGTACAAGATGTGGGTAGTACAAGATGTTGTAGTACAGGATGTAGTAGTACAAGATGTGGTAGTACAAGTTGTGTTAGTACAAGATGTGGTAGTGCAGGATGTGGTAGTACAAGATGTGGTAGTACAAGATGTGGTAGTACAAGTTGTGTTAGTACAAGATTTGGTAGTACAGGATATGGTAGTACAAGATGTGGTAGTACAAGATGTGGTAGTACAAGATGTGGTAGTACAGGATGTAGTAGTACAAGATGTGGTAGTACAAGTTGTGTTAGTACAAGATGTGGTAGTACAGGATGTGGTAGTACAAGATGTGGTAGTACACGATTTGGTAGTACAAGATGTGGTAGTACAGGATGTGGTAGTACAAGATTTCACTTAATCAATTAAATTTTTTGTGTACTTTTTTCCTTTATTTTTAAATTGAAAAAAAATTTTTGGCACATTTTGCAATATTGACATTTTTAGTGAGCTTCAACATTAGTGAGTTACAACAACTGAGATACTTGAGTGAGTTAAAACTATTGTAATACTTTAGTGAGATGGTACAACAATTGTAATACTTTAATGAGGTGGTACAAAAATTGTGATTCTTTAGTCGGTTTAAAAAATTGTGAAACTTTAGTGAGTTGCAATTACTGTAATACTTTAGTGACAACTACTGTGATACTTTAGTAAGTAAGAACTACTGGGATACTTTAGGGAGTTACAACTAATGTGATACTTTAGGGAGTTAAAACTAATGTGATTCGTGAATATCAACTTTAAATAAAATTAAACAACCTCCTAAAAACAAAGTTTTTCTTATAAATACTTCATAAAATGTAATATCGAGCGATGGGGTTGGACGCTTCGCTGAAAATTTGACAAAACATGCATTTAAGTAACGCACCATACAAAAATACTAATTAGTCCCCCCCCCCCCCCCCCCCCCCCNCTAAAAACAAAGTTTTTCTTATAAATACTTCATAAAATGTAATATCGAGCGATGGGGTTGGACGCTTCGCTGAAAATTTGACAAAACATGCCTTTAAGTAACGCACCATACAAAAATACTAATTAGTCCCCCCCCCCCCACTACCCCCAGGCTCGCAACCGCACATGTTATCCCCGCCCTGTTATTTTCCGCCCCTGTACAATAATAATAATCTAATGTCCCGCCCACTTTAACACCCCTATTTAATACACATACTACTACTGTAAACAATATAAAATAGTACGAACCAAAAGCCCTTGCGACATTTTAAAAAAAAGAAATATTAAGCAAATCATCTGGAATTTTTTTTTTCGTGAAATCAGTAGCATCTGGTACAATTAAATCTAATTTAGGGGTGAGCGGGTGGAGCTTGACGTTAATGAAACGTGTTGTCTCCTGCAGCGAGTCAATGTGCCAAGTTTCAGCTCAGTATGATGACGGGAAGTGGGCCAATTAGCCGTCCGAAGACTTTTGCCTTAAAAAAAATCACGAACAAAACTGAAATTAAATTAACAGATTTAAAATAGAACTTATATGTTTTTTAAGTGTTACAAGAGAATGCTAAGATCCTACTGTCTTGTTCAATGTTACAAAATGATGTTCACAAATCATTCCCTTTAATGAGAGAATATATTGAAAGAATAAATCACTCTTTAAAAAAAAAATTTCAGACACAATCTTAAGTGATTACAATCTGAAGTCAAAACTTAATAAATCGCGTGCAAAATTTAAGATCTTATTTATTCATCTCTAAATTTATGTTTATGTATTAAGATCACAACATTAAAATGATCATTTTTTCCCTCCTCATTATCAAATTTACATTCGTAAAGATGTTTACAAAACTACAGCAATGAAAAGTTATTTAATTCGTAATTATTTGCTCGTTTCTTTCATTCAATCAGTTGTTTGTTCCATTAACGCCTTGAAAGTAAACAAATTTATTAGTTTTACTCTCAGCTCGAAATTTTATTACGCTAAATTAATTTACGTTTAAAAGTGTCTCTTGTGATTATCTCTATGAAGATTTTTCTAAATTTCGGGTTCATTATGATATAAATGATAAAATTTGAAGAGCTGTTGATGGTCTTAAGAAGGTTTTGGAGAGGGATAACCAAAACAATGAAAAAGCCTGATGATGATTTGTCCCTAAAGTCAAAGAGGCTGTTGGAGATGAGGTCACACAGGTAGAGGATGCTATGGGAGATGACGAACATGAAACAGATCGCCAGAAGTGTTGCTGTGGTGTGGGTACTGGACGTCTTCTTGGTGGATGATGTCATCTTTTGTCGTTTGCGCAGGTTCACCTTAATCATAACGCTTACAATGATGCAGCCGACCGTGACGAAAACGAGAGGTACCGCCGTTGAAAGAGTGTTGATAATGTTGAAATTGAAATTAGTGATGATATCGAAATTTGCGTAGAAGAAGTCCGTGTACGCGACACGGCCGACGGATGTGTTGTAGAAGGGCACCATCGCGTAATTAAACCTGTACAGAGTTGCGGTGAACAAGCACCAGGGCATCCAGAACAGGTATACTGCCGAGACGACCAGCCAGGCGCGGACAGGGCTGACGATACTGGCAAACCTCAGCGGAAGAAACACGGCAATCAGCCGCTCGATCGTGATGACGACGGAGAAACTCGCCGAGGTGTAGCCCCCGACGTTATGAATAAAGGTCACGGCCACCAGGTACAGGTACGCGCACATGGCCGTGTTGTAATCGGTCATCCAGCCGTACAGATTATTCTGGACGCTTGGCGCGTATGTGTACAGTATCCGTGCAACGTTGATCTGTACAGTACATATGTCAGCGATAGCCAGTGCGAAAAGAATGATGTTAGAGGGTTGTCCCAGTCCACTTCGTACCAGAATCTTGCAGCAGAAAATGTTTCCTACAAACCCGAAAACACTGAGAGGTGGGATGACGACACAGTAGATGTAAAAGGCAGCTAGAAACTCTCGCCAGTACGAGATTCCTAGGTCAAATGGCGTGATTTGGCCGGCTACGGTGTTTGTCGTAGAGACGTTGTCAAACATTTTGAAGGCGTCTCAAGCTTTGAGGTAGAAAACTGGATGAAAAAAATGATATAATTATGGATAGTAGGAGCATTTGGAGATATAATTACCTTAAAAAGCTTTTAAAATGAAGTAGTGGTTACAAATTATTTGTTAACCAATGTCTCAAACAATGCGGATGATAACGTGTACAGCATCGTGTGAATAAAATGTGAATGAATTTTATCATTTACTATGTGGATCATATTATTTTATCAAATTGTAAATAACGGAGTGCTTAGTAATTTAAAAAAAAAAAAAAAAAAAAAAAAAAAAAAAAAAAAAACCAAAAAAAAAAAAAAAAAATAAAAATAAAAAAAAAAAAAAAAATAACGGAGAGCTAAGTAATTTAAAAAAAAAAAAAAAAAAAAAAAAAAAAAAAAAAAACCCAAAAAAAAAAAAAAATTTTATTTTTATAAAACAAAAAAAAATAAAAAAAAAAAAAAATAAAAAAAAAAAAAAAATAAAAAAAAAAAAAAAAAAAAAAAAAAAAAAAAAACAGAAGCCCACAACTAACTACTGATTCTTATTTCGTGCAACTGATGAAATGTATGAGATAATACTATTCAACTTCAACTCGAGTTTAATACAAATGAATCCGAAATGAGATGTAGAACAGATTTTAAAAAAAACAAAACAACCTACTAAGTACTTTCCTTTTTTCCTTTCCTGTCTCGTTATCTAGTTTTAAATCTTTCATTATTTCAAGAATGTGCTTCTCCATTGGAGTGTGACTTTGACTAAATAGAGATGGCAAGGAAATGCGACGAGATATTCACAGTAAAATGATCAGGAAAGTGGCCAAGATTAATTTGACATTGAACCACTATTAAAGGTCATTGTAAAACAACAAAAACACAAATAACAAACAACACCAGTCACTGTACTAATAAGAACACAAGAGTGTGGTGCGTCCCCTGTTATTTAAATATGTATAAAGTATACTTTCTTTAAATTTATTAGCCTAGGTCTATGGGAAATTTCTCTCTCTCTCTCTCTCTCTCTCTCTCTCTCTCTATATATATATATATATATATATATATATATATATATATATATATATGTGTGTGTATATATATTTAGACATATAATAAACATATACACACACTACACACGAGTGTGGTGTGTCTCCTGTTTTTTATATATATATATAGTATATTTTCTTTATATTTATTAGCCTATCTCTATGTGAGATTTCTCTCTCTCTCTCTCTCTCTCTCTCTCTCTCTCTATATATATATATATATATATATATATATATATATATATATATATATATGTGTGTGTGGATATAAGTTCAGCCATAGTAAACCGGTAAACCAACACTTTGTACATGAAATGACTTTTACTGAAGCGGATTTAAAAGATACTCAGCATGGCTAAGCATCGCATTAAATGTTTCCAGAACCCCGTAGAGATCGCTCCATGAGATATTAAGTTTTCAGATCTTTACCGATGCCGACAGCAGCTGATGCACACCGATCAATTTGTCAGAGCGTCAAGGCAGCTCTTGGCCCCATCTATATTAGATCTGTCTTCCTGGAAGGACCTAGCTGATTGGCTGGTGTTTCGTAAAAAAATAAAAAATTCCCAGGTTTTTTTTTTTTAATGTTGTTTTTGTGTGTGTATGTCACAACGTTAAGTGTACAGGTCACGTCTAAAGGTCAAGTGTATGCTCGCCTAGGATTGCTTTCTTCATCGACTATACATTTGGATGTTTATTTGCAATGGAAAGAATCTTTTGACTACATATCAAATGATGTTGAATGCATCATCTCGCTCTCAAGACTATACAATTACGAGAAGTAATCTAGACGGCCACCATACTAAACTTTTCTGATGCTTGAGTAGACGAAAATTCGGACACTTCAAAATTGTATGAATAAAGAGCAGTCTTTTTTGAAGTTTGCACTCCCGGCAAAATGCGATTGGCAAAATGGTGTACTTCTTTTTCGGGAAATTGCTAGCGATGGTTTGGGAAAAGACATTTTGACATTCGAGAGGAATGATTTTTATTTCGTCATGTTTGGCTATATATTATTATTTACATTTTTTTTTTTAATAAACTCCTCTTTTTTCTAAAGTCGCCCAAATTTAGCCCAGAGTCTCACACGTGAGACCTGTAGAAAAGCATGAATGTTTTAAAATCTTATGACGGGTTTTCTTCACGAAATAAAATTTAATGTTCAACACGTTGAAAACAAATTAGTTATTCATTAAATTTAAAAAAAAAAAAAATCTTATAATGTTAGAATGGACTTGAGAAAGCAGAATAACATTTTTAAAAAAGCAAGTCCTGTTATTTTAGAATGCAATAAATTAAGAATTAAAAAAATAGAAATATAATAAAAAAATTATATATATAAATTAGACATACAAACAAAGTTGTACGAAGAAGTTTAAAAAAAATTATTATTATTGTAGTCCTAATGTGCAGGATACGAATAAAGTTTACAACAAATTTCTTACAAACCCTATATTTCAATTTCTTGTAAACAATGTCAGGTTTCTTGATGACACGTGTGGTGAAGATTTTAAAAAAAATGTAATTCCATTCCTTTTTTTTTGGGGGGGGGGGAGTAAAATATACTTATTACTTTTTTTTTACTTGGTGCGTGATTGGGCCTTGTTTTTTAGCATTGTATTTTTTTTTTTATTAATTTGGTGAAGATTTTAAAAAAAATTTAATTCCATTCCTTTTTTTTTGGGGGGGGGGGGAGTAAAATATACTTATTACTTCTTTTGTACTTAGTGCCTGATTGTGCCTTGTTTATCAGCATTGTATTTTTTTTATAATTAATCTACGTTCTTTAAGTTTAACATTATGAAACACTTTCAAAATTTTAATCCCCTTCCCCAAAACCCTTTTTGTTCTTTAGCAAAACCTATTTAAAAAAAAAAAATACACTTAAGTTCTCGTAACAATATTAAGAATGTCAGTTTGATTGAATGCATAAACTGGAGGTGTTCGTACCAGGCAAAAATAGATATTTGATACATTCTTCCTTGTATAACTTCTTTGCGTTGTTAAATTTTTAGTTTAAACAAATTCTTTTAACTTTATATAGGGACTATAGGAACTATGTACATTTCGTCTTTGTGTTTAAAAAAAAAATAAATATACATTTCTCATTTAAATTTTAAATAGCCCTGGTTCCAAAGAAATACAAAATCTGAAATTTGTTAGAAATCTGGTTTTCGTTGGGGTCTTTTCAGGCTATCCTTATTATTTAAAGTTAACCTTCACGAATAAATATTTATGGGTACTGAAATTCTGAATCCTTTTTTAAAAAAAAAGATGGTGGCATCTCTACCAATAACTTCAGTTTATCAAAAGCTTTGTCATATATACAATGCGCTTGAAAAAAACAAATCGCAGATATATAATGCTAATTTATGTGGGATAATTTTTGAAAGAATTTCTCACACAGCTTTTAATTGCATCGGATGTGTGTATTTTTTTTTTCTTTCTTTTTTATGTGTAGGTGGCTTGAGATGGAGCTGGTTGTGAACAACAATAGTTTGTAAAGTTAAGGCCTAGGAATGTGTGAAATACAAAAGAACCAACAAACTTGACTATGGCTCTCAGTTCGAAATATTTTGAGAGTCCTTGTCACACGCACGACTGCAGTTTAAAAGCAGTGTGCGAAAACAACAAAAGGAGCGTAAGACAAAGATCGATCAGAAGATTTTGTGGTCAGTTGATGTTCAGAAGATTTTGTGGTCAGTTGATGTTCAGAAGATCTTGTGGTCGGTTGATGTTCAGAAGATCTTGTGGTCGGTTGATGTTCAGATGATCTGAGGTCAATTGATGTTCAGAAGATCTTGTGGTCAGTTGATTTTCAGAAGATCTTGTGGTCAGTTGATGTTCAGAAGGTCTTGTGGTCAGTTGATGTTCAGAAGATCTTGTGGTCAGTTGATGTTCAGAAGATCTTGTGGTCGGTTGATGTTCAGATGATCTGAGGTCAATTGATGTTCAGAAGATCTTGTGGTCAGTTGATTTTCAGAAGATCTTGTGGTCAGTTGATGTTCAGAAGGTCTTGTGGTCAATTGATGTTCAGAAGATCTTGTGGTCGGTTGATGTTCAGAAGATCTTGTGGTCAATTGATGTTCAGAAGATCTTGTGGTTGGTTGATGTTCAGAAGATCTTGTGGTCAATTGATGTTCAGAAGATTTTGTGGTCAGTTGATGTTCAGAAGATCTTGTGGTCAATTGATGTTCAGAAGATCTTGTGTTCGAGCGTTCTCACAAACTGGCTGATAGTTTTCGTCTTTAGCTTCGTGGTTATGGGTACTCCCTGAGAAGCAATTTATAATCTCGTAACAAATAGAAAATCCGAGAGCCTTGAGTGGAGCTTTGAGACGTCACACAGAACGCCGTGGTGGTCTAACTACTTTATTGTACCGAGTGGTTCAACCCGGTGATGTCTGAAATCTCTTTGAACTACTAAGATCTTAAACATTTTCCCCCACTTGTTTCCAATATTTTTTTTCATAATTGTATATGTGTTTTCTCATTTCAACTCAACGCTATGAAATGTTAAACAGTTTTCATCAATAATTGATTACTCTGTGTTTATCTTTGAGTTTGTTCACAGACAATTAAATTTATTACGCGTCAAATATATCTAACAAAATATGGTGCAACTATCGGCGACGAACAACCCTACTGAGCATCAATGTTTCCATTGAGCTCTTTCCTATATATACTAGACATTTGGGAGACTAAAAATGGGACTGACGTTTATAAAAACCATAGTGGTAGTATCAACTTAATCCAAATTTTTATTTTCTCTACTTTTAATATTATAGAAGAATCTTTTCGAATCTCCGTGCAACACAGCAGTGGCGTACCTAGGGGTGTAGGGGGCTTCGGGCCGCAGCGGGTGACACCGTCTCAGGGGGTGACACCAAATTGAACAAAAAATTGCATACTTAAAAAGAACACATTGCCCACTACACGTTCAAGGTTGCTGCGTCAAAAATGAGGTGAATCTATATTCAGGCCAAATTAACACCGTTTTGACAATGATTCAACGCCAATTGAAGTGTTTGGTTATTTTAGTAAGTGACAGGAGGCTATAGTTATTTAAATTCCTCGAAATAAAGCTTTCCATTTAAACCAAATACGATGCGTGGTCGGGCGATTCAAAGTACAAGTTACAGATCTTGAATATATTTACCTCCTGACTTTCAATTATTTTGTTTTTGATGTTATCATTATCGTGCCGTGGACTTATTTTAACCAAAAAAAAATCCATCCTGGAAGTCGAGGAAGAGGCGGGAGGGGGTGTGTGTGACACTGATGTGGAGAGGCGGGAGGGGCACACACACTGTGACTACACCTCTCCGCCCTCCCCCACACAGTGACACTGATGTATTTTCCCTTCTTAAGAGTAAAAGTAATAAATACAATTGCTTGCTTTTTAAATTGTTAATCAAACACACACACACACATATTTAATTTGTAAATTTTTACATTTAAAAAGTTTTGCCTTTTTTTTTCAAAAAATATACTTTTATTAAATTTACAACGTAATAAAAACTAACATTTCAATATAATTCTAAAAAGAAAATGCGGTTTAAGCCAACCAGTGCAGCGCAACTCCATAGCTAAATAGCATTCACATATCCACTTATACCTCATACAAATAAGAACGAACCATGTGAAATGCAAAATATGTTAGTTTTGGTATGGAAGGGACTACAATCCTGTGGATGATTTTGTACATTTATTTAAATCTGGGGGGGGGGGGGAAGGGGTTGGTCACTTTGCCCCAGGCAGCACAACATACGTCTCAAAATAAAGGAATAAATTTGATTTGATAAGTAATTAACCTTCTTGGGTATATTCATATCGGAGGTAGGAAATAGGATGTGTACATATTTACGTTGATGACAATATATTTAAATCCCATGGTATTACATTTGTGAAAAGAGAGACGCTACATTCTCTTTTTACAAATATGTGTATGTTCATTTCTCTCAAGGTAGCGCAAGATAAGTCTCAAAATGAAAGGATGAATTTGATAAATAATTAATTTTCTTGGGTAAATACATGTTGGAGATAGGAAATAAGATGTGTAAATTCTTATGCTGATGACAACATACTTAGTTAACTCCTATCGTATTACATTTGTCATAAAATAAGATGTTACATTCTCTTTTTACAAATATTGGTATGTTAATTTTGCCTAAGGTAATACAAGATATGTCCCAAAACAAATGAATTAATTGGATTAATAATTAACCTTCTTGGGTACATACTTATAGGAAATAGGAAATAGGATATGCACATTTTTACGTGGATGACAAATATATTTAAATCCTATGGCAGGGGTTTGGAACCTTTTTGTCTGAGAGAGCCATGGATACCACATATTTTGAAAAGTAATTATGTGAGAACCATTGTTATGTAGTACACTTTGTTCCCGTGCTTGAACTTTGCTTGACCCAAATTAGATCCCTTGCAGACGGTAGCGTTTGTGGTGGGCGTGGCTTATTCTTTGAAGTATCCTGTTTACTACCGCACTACCAATTAAACATGGCTAGTATGTCTACTAGTAGCTTATGGAACGTTCTCGATTGTATTAGGAAAGTAAGGGCGTTTCTAAACGCGTCGATAGACCCACATATATAAAGGAATAACAGGCACGGAGAGAGACGGAGATTCAGAGAGATATATTTTAACTTCACCAGACGTGTATTATTCTTTGTGTACTTATATGGTTATTCGCTTTCGTCATTGTACATTATTAATTGGCACATTGTATTCTCTGTGTACCGGTACAAGATCTACCAGATTTTCAGATGCTCTGTAAGTTGATGATTTGTAATTATATTTATTTTGTTTTGTAATAGTATTATTACTAAATTAAATCTTATTAATTGTATTTGGTACTGTTTTGGGTGTCGTATTTTTCTTATGTGTATTTCTCTATGGTATCGTCCTTTGTTAGGCACTGTTTGAACGAGCCATACATTTAAAATAGGAGATTAATTTCTCACAATAGATGCCAGTGCGTAACAGCCATAATTATGTTTAAAACTAACAATTCAAGTAAATGTGTGCATTTTGTGTAATTTCAACACAAAAAATGCAATTATTATGTCTCTGAATTCTTTTTAATGACATTGTTATGCTGTTGCTAATCAAAAATGAGTATTTCTTACCATTAATGCGACTTTTTTAAAAATAATCGAACGTTTGTCTGCAAGCCAGATGCAGCCATCAATAGAGCCATAGGTTCCTGACCCGTGTCCCATTGTATTACATTTGTGAAAAAAGAGATGTTAAATTCTCTTTTTTACAAATAAACATATGTTTACCAATCAAGAAAGTCAAAGGCGTTAATAAACTTGGGTACATTTATATAAGTCTATCCAGGAATATCAAAACCAAATCATTTTATACACTTGAAAATTAAATTATGACAAATGAAGATCGGTTAATATTTTCTTTTTTTTTTTTTAAATGAACATATATTTTTGTTGCTACTAAGCAAAGAGTAAAGAGTTGTGTATTTTTATGAGATTAACAATTTAATTTTTTTTTTAAAGACAGTCAACTCTGATATAGGCGTGAAAAACAGTTGCGAGATTCTTCTTAGATAAAAGAATTCTTTTTTTTAAATATTTTCTGATAATGTATAATTTTAAAAAAGGCAAACATGTGTTTAAATTTTGATGAAGATATCGATATATATAGAATTCCTGTAATATAAATTATATTCATAGCATATTTAGAGTTTTTATTGTAAATTTAAGATTGTTTTTTTTTAATTTTGAGGGAAAATAGTTGTAATTCAAGGGCACGAAAATGGGTAAATCTAAAGTATTTCTCTAGCGTAGTAAATGTCCTCAATTAACTTCTTTAGTGACAAAAATGATATAATGAGTGATAATTTAGACTGCGTAATTTAAGGTCATGTTTGGAGGGGGGAAATTAGTTTCGGAGCGTGAAAGGGTGTAGGGCGCGCGTATCATATGTAGCAGATAAACATGTATCAAAGCTTAATGATGTTAGAAACGTAAAAATCATTACATTTTAAAAGTTATGAATTGGGAAGAGTTTTTGCAAAAGCAGCTAGAAATTATCGCAAAGGACCTACCATTATTATCCCGATAACATCGGGTCATTCATTCTAGTTCGAATATAACAAAGAGTCTGTCTTGAAAACTAAGAGTAAATGATTGCGTTCCATACGTGTCAACTATCTACAGTACAGAAAAGAGTTTCAAGCAGGGCTGCCACTCACTTTTTTCAAATTTCCCAAGATTTGGTGAACAAATTTCCCAAGATTTCCCAAGATCATACAAATATATAAGAGTTTTTTTTTTAAAGGGGGGTTTTCTATGTAATTAATGTAATAATAGATTGAATCAATGCCCCTGAAAAACATGGTATATTAATGGACTGAAATTTATTGAAAAAGACATTTAAAACATGTTTATCACATTAAAAAAAAAATTTTTTTTAAAAAAATAATTTATAATCCAAAATATCAATACCCACTGGAGTTAGGCTACTAAATATTACCTCCGAATTCTCTGATAAAAATATAATCTACAATACATGTGTAATAGAAGTCACTTGGAAAAAAAAAGCATACAAGGCTAATCAACACAGAATTCCTTTTACAAAGGCAAAAGTTTCTTCATCAAAAAATGATTTTTTATTATTGTAAATCTGTTGATTACAAGTGGGGTTTGCAAAGCAATTAAGCAAAATTTATTAATAATAATTGTAGTTAAAATGGATTGATATTACGATGAAAACAATAAGTGTTTTATTTTTTCTTGTAAAATTTACATTATAACGATTTTTTCACCAAAAAAAAAATACTTTTAAAGGAATTGTTCATTTATAATCCTACAACGTAGGCCTATACTGCCTATACTATTAATATCTTAGTTACCCGTGTTTCAATCCACAAATATTTTTTCTAATTGATGAAAATTAGGCTGGATTTTTTACAGATGCATTATATTTTGAACACATTGTAGAAGTAATTGAAATAATAAAATTCTACTATGGCATGGATTCTTGATTGAACACTATCGTTCACTCTTTGGCTTGTACTGTTTTTCGTATGGTTGCTAATGTCTAAGAGCATAATGATAAAGTTTCCGAGCCCACCCCCCCCCCCATTTAATAAACATTCAAAACCTGGATGTAATTTGTAAATCTTCAATTTTTTTTTTTTAAAGAGAAAATTGAATTTTTTTTAAAAATTATTAACTTTTTAATAATTCACAATATTAACTTTAAAATCAGAAGAGTTTTTATTTATTTTATGAGTGGATTTAAAAATTAAAACCAGAAAAGAAAATGAAAACAATTAATTTTTTGCCTTGTTACTTTAAAAATTATTTTGCTTTATTTTTACTTTATTTTTTATCAGATATTGTTGCGTTTTTTTCGAAAAATATAACAAAATTTTCCCCCCAGTTAAGATTTCCCAAGGTTTTGCATGATTTTCAAAATTATTCCCCAGATCCCAAGGGGGGTCGTGAATTCCCAAGACCTTGGGAAATTTCCGAAGGTGTGGTAGCCCTGGTTTCAAGAGCCACACTGACACAGACGTTCTTAACATAACGCCTTGCATTTAATCTCTCACACAAGTAGGTCACCATTGTCACAAGACCGACACACTGCAAAGAACACGGCAGCGATGTGTGTGTGTAGTCGCTATTGGAGGGTGTTCACGGATGTCCGTTTCGTCTCTTACCGTTAATGCGAAGTTCTCACATTATTGTTTCTTACCTGGGAGGGGACTGGTCATTGGACATATTCCGAGTGATTGGTTGCCCAGCAACGACCGACATTAACCATGGCTACCATTGAACGTCATTACACTTTGATTGGACGAGGGAACAACAAAGGTAACTAATCGTTTCTCATCTGGTTTTGCTCGAGTCAATTTTAAGGACACTGTTTCTTATTAAGCATTATGGCTGCAAGGCCGTGGCCCCAAATATACTATGGCTCTAATATGTGGCTCACGCAGATAATATTACCGCACAATGGTTCGCATTGGAAAATGGTCTTGTAACAGACCAATTAAATTTTGTTTTTTTAGTTTAATTCAGACAATAATCCTCAAGAACAATAAACAGTATTTAATAATAATAATAAAGTTTATTTGAAAATCACACTTCACCCCCAAAGGCTCGAAGCGCGGTACATAGTCTTAGTTTATTAAAAGAGAAATGAAACAACCTAAAATATACTACTTTGGAATATAAAATGCAACATTGCAAAAAATATATAACCATTCTAAGTCTTTCATACCTAACAACCATAAACAACAAAGGCCAATACACATCCACAATGTAATAGCTAGATAAACAACATCATCCCAGCAGGTGTTTGCGAAATAGATATATCTTCAGAACTGTTTTGAAAGACTCCAGTGACTGGCTGTTTCTAAGAGCAGCAGGAAGAGTGTTCCAAATATTCGCAACGAAAAATGTAAAAAGTCCGCCTGTTTAGCTGAAAAATATATGGCTAAAACCTTTTATAATAGATCATAATAAAAAAAAATCAGTATTTATTTAAAAGTTCAGTAACTAGTAAGGACGTCATGGACATGAAATCATTTAATAAAATGGTAGAGATTGTTTTTTTTCGTAACGTTGATTATCCGGGGAATCAATTATCCAAAAATCAAAGCTTTACCGCATTTATTCTAGTTATAAACCGTTACGTACATATTCTATTTACAGGCGGCCAAGTCCCTACTAGTCCTGCAAGGAAACGGGATGATCAAGGTAGAGATATGGAAACTAAATTAATTACTCTTCCCATTGTTTCCAAAATGCTGACTTGAAAAAGTTCTTTGTATGAACATCGGCTGATGATGATGATGATGATGATTTATTGTTTGTAAAGCGCTTGCTTCCATGCTTTCTGGGTCAAACTTTGGTTAGGTCAAATACGATAAAATTTGGTAACACCATAGATTTATTTCAATGTTTATATAAACTGGTTAGGGTACAATAAACATACCATGTGAGTTCAGGGTTTCGGGTGGGACAGAATCGCTGATTATTAGATGAAATGTTTAAACACTGTAACAGTGGTGTTAACTACTGGAGTTTCTAAATTCTTAAACATGGACGTTTGTTTTTTCTACTTCTGCCCTCTGAGGCATAAATTATATTCGATACATTTAAAAAGTGCCCTTCTACTTAACGGAGTTGAGAGTCTAATATTAGAAAGGGAATTATTTTCTTTATCATCTACACATTTAATAAGAGAACTAAACAATCTATGTGTTAACTTTATCCATCAAATGAAACTTCTTCATCCAGGGGACCACGAATGTGAAGAACTAGACGAAGGAACTGGGCCAAGTGAACGGTGGGAGGCGTGCTTGAAAAATCCTGGCCACAAAGATTTCATCGCGGCTCAGGATTTGTCCATAGAAGATCTCCCTCCGGAGTACCGAGACACGGGCGTGTTTGAGCTCGTCCGACTTCTGTCCGATCTCACGGTCAAGGTTTGCGTCGAGTACACGAGCACGAGCCGACCTGACGGCTACATCTTCTCCAAATTCAGAGGTCAGACGGTAGCACACACAGGCACCGGGTTTGTGGTGCAGTGCGAGTTTCACGTCTGACCCGCTTAAGCCATCGCGGTGGTGGAGTGTGTACGTCCGGACGGCCAAGCACGTAGTGTTTGATGACGAGGAAGTAAAGCGCACGGTTATAACTGCTGATTTGGGACTGCGCACTCACGGGGAAAGTTTAGACAGTGCGCCCGGCAACGTATCTTTAGTTCTTTATGGTCTTCGGGAAATAGGGAGTAACCTCAAACGTGACCACTTTGAGATGGAGTGTGCCACGCACGACAAAGTGTCGGGGCAGTACCTCGCCATCGCCAATTCTAAACTGAGCTCCATGAGAAAACAACTGTGCCATACTAGGCAGGATGACGAGAGTTGGCCCCCCTTATCGGTTATCATCTCCCACCCCCATGGATTCGACAAGATGGTAACTGTGGGGCAATGGATAGAAAGGACTGTCCAGTCCACTGACAGGTTTCATTACAACACCGAAATGACCGAATACACCTACGACACACCAACGTGCTACGGCAGCAGTGGGGCGCCGGTGTTGATCCTAGGAAGGGGCGTCAGTCTGAGCAATGTCTTCGGATTGTTTGGTCCCATTTGGTACCACGCGCACAGCGGGGCGTCGAGCTCACGGGTGGGGAGAAGTGCGGTAGGGGTTGATTGTATTCTGTCTCCAAAAAGCCCATCTATTCCCGGGACGTAAATTTGGCTCGTCCTAATGAAGATGACAAAATAATGGAACTTATTTCATGGATCAAACGGGACAATTTCTTCTATCTCGACACATATAGCTGAATGTCATGAAACTATCTGAGATTACGGTACTTAGTACCACAAATTCAATATATATTCTATATATGCAGTCTTTTGTACATTGTACATTGTATATTCTATACCAAGTATACCTTTTCTACATTCTATGTATTCTATGCGAAGTATTTGATTAAGTCTCGCACCTCACCCCCTTTAAAAAAATTAACAATGACTATTTGACTTTGTGAGACTAAATTTACTTCTAATAATTATTCATCGCAAATACATAAATAACTGTAGGATTTGGATAATAAACTTATAATTTATCACATAAAATAAAATGTTGATTTCTTAACCAAACAAATGTCTATAATTTGTATCATAATTTCAATGTTTCAAATGTTCTAATGTGCACTTTTATACGCACCCACATAAAATTTCATCTGGCATCCCAGGTTGGGAAACCCTGTACCTATATCGTATATATCTATAAATACATGACGACCACCTCACACTGTCTTTCAATATAATCTATAACGACAGGGGTATTAGCTGCCAGTAAAGTTTAAAAAATAGAAAAATGTTACAGTTAAATACTTGGAAATAATTTGTATAGGTCATTGATATTTTCAATAGTGTTACGCACTGCCGTCTATAGTGAGAAATTAATCTCTTGTTTTAAGTTATGGCTCGTTCTAAACATTTCATAACAAAGGACGATTCCATAGAGAAATACAATAGCAAACATTCGACACTCAAAACACTATTAATTACAATTAATAAGATTTGTTTAGTTTATATGATTACAAAACAAAAGAAATATAATTACAATCATCAACTTACAGAGTATGTGAAGTCTTGTACCGGTACACAGTTAGTACAGTGTGGCAATTAATAATGTACCATGATGAATGCGAATAAACACATATGAGTACACACACAATAAAACACTTGACTCGTGAACTGACAAATATATCTCTCAAACTCCGTTCCTTAATGTTATCTGAACCCCTTATATATGCAGCGTAAGACGCATTCCAGAAAAGCCGACCCCATTGTTTATCTGTCTAGTTCACTCCCAAACTTTCCACAAAATTCTATTTGAACATATCAGTTATTTTTTGTTGGTAGTCGTAGTAAACAAAGCAAGATAAAAGGGAATAGGCCACGCCCAATACGACCGCGGCGTCTACTAGATTGGCAGCACGGGGGAAACGTGACGTAAAAACGTCCTACCTAACAATAGCTCACCTTAAGAGAAGATAACTAAACGGACGTTTCGGCAAGATGCCTTCTTCAGCAACAAAAAATATAATAACATTAAAAAACATATACATTTGAATATCAAATAAGTAAAACTTATTATTTAAAAGAGCTCAATAAAGCTAATGTTGCTCCATTTTCAGAACAGGAAGCGCTCTATGATTTTGTCAGAAACGGAATTTGAGTTGTTCAAAATCTCATGCGTCCACAATAATTCTGTGGTGTGTACAATAAGAGAAAAGTAAGAGTGTTACAATTTTAAAATTACTTTAAAAAAAAAAAAAAAAAAAAAGGACAGGATTTGTATCTGGCGTAAAAAAAAAAAAATAAAAGTGTTAAAATTTTAAAATTACTTTAAAAAAAAAAAAAAAAAAAAGGTCTGGATTTGTATCTGGCGAGAAATTGTGATAGTTAAAATTTGTAAAAAGTATGATTACACTACATATTGACATTATTTTTGTGTACACCAATAGCCAAACAACATTGCTCTATAAAACAGGCTGTATTTAAAAATAAAAGGCAGTCTGGAAAGTGGTAGGGCATTGTTTATTTAAGATGTCATTCTTTCCTAAAGATATCATTGTTTCATCAAGATGCCATCGTTTTAATGAGATTTAATGGTTTCAATAAGATTGCATTGTTTTCATAAGATGCTCCTGTGATAGCCGTAAAAGTTTCTCAACAAGACAAAATGACCGAACATTAACGCTGGCTTAGACCCAGTGAACATGGTACAATGAAAATCTATCAATTCAATAAAATATTTTGAAACTATTTGTTCAGTGTGCATTAATTTCATTGTTATTGTGCTTCGTCGCCCGAAAAAAGCCCGTCTTGGCCTTAATGTCTTGGAGTCTGTCTGCTGTGAGGTTCTGGCGTTCATGTTGTGTGGTTAGAACAGCGGTGAGGTTCTTGAGTGTACGATGTGTGGTCAGAATAGCAGTGAGGTTCTTGAGTGTACCTTGTGTGGTCAGAATAGCAGTGAGGTTCATGAGTGTACCTTGTGTGGTCAGAATAGCAGTGAGGTTCTTGAGTGTACGATGTGTGGTCAGAATAGCAGTGAGGTTCTTGAGTGTACCTTGTGTGGTCAGAATAGCAGTGAGGTTCTTGAGTGTACCTTGTGTGGTCAGAATAGCAGTGAGGTTCTTGAGTGTACCTTGTGTGGTCAGAATAGCTGTGAGGTTCTGGAGTCTATGCTGTGTGGTTAGAAAAGATGTTAGGTTCTTGGGTGTGAGTTATGTGATCTGAATAGCTGTTAGGTGTTTAAGTAGTCGGTGGCATTTTGGATCAGTGTCTGGGGTTTTTGTTGGAATGCGGTTCTCGGATTTTATGGATAGTCATAATGTTTGTAATATGGTAATTACAAATGGAAGGACAGTTTCACCGTTAAATAAAATCTCAACGAAAGATTTTAAAGTACATCATAAAGCTTCCACAGAACTTTTCCGCTATTATCCTAGAAAGTATACATCTTCTGGATGTTAAAAGTATAATAGTGCTTTGAGTGGACGTTTAGGTCCTCTTCACTCCAGCTGTAATACTTTGAGATGGCCAGATTTCACAGCAGTGCGTAACAAAGAAAACACTAGCACCATGCACGCTGCCTATTCCCATTCGCTGTGCGCACCGCGAGTGAATGACCTCCGCACCGCACCATGGATGGCAGGAGAGGCAGGAAAACAATGTGGCCATGGTGGTGCATTACATCGCAGGGAAAGCTCCACAAAGTAGACAAAAAGAGAGAAAAGATCTACAGCTGCCGGGCTAGCTCTGTGGACCTAGCGTGTTAGTCTCATGGGAGATCAAGCTTTGGTACGAGAAGTTTGACACCCGCTTAGACAATGATTTCCGATGAACTTAAATCTTAGTCTTGTGGTTGATTGTAAGTTAAAAAAAGATAATAATAAAATAAATCTATTTATTTTATTGTTATTTTCCCCCAAGTTTTCGGGATGAATTACGCTGCTAGAAGTAACCCGTTAATTTTTCATCAAGTGTTAATGTCTTATTTCTGTAGTTTTACAAGAAAGATTTCATATTTATTTATTTATTTAGGCATTTTTTATATAGCGCTTATCATAAAGCTCTAAGCGCTTTACAATTATTAAAACATGTAAACTAAGTAAATACAAATGAGACACTAGGATAGTAACTACTATACTATAGAAACAATGAAAATGGCTATAAAAAGAGGACACTTTGACACTTCAGGATTAAACCGAAACAGAAAATGAGGTAGGGCAAGGAGGGTGCATCACAGGTCATAGGCGGACCTAAACAGATGAGTTTTAAGGGACTTTTTGAAAATGGACGAGGTTTCACTATGACGTATATGGAAGGGGAGCTGGTTCCAGAACGTGGGCCCATGGAAGCAGAAGGAGCGTTCACCGATGGTCTTAGTTTTAGTTCTTGGGATTGAGAGGGTTCTACTGTCAATGGAAGAACGTAGTTGTCTTGTGGGGATGTAAGGAAGCAACAGTTCAGAGAGATAGACAGGAAAGTGAGGGTCAGTGAACGAGTTGAAGCAAAGATTGGCAGACTTGTATTTGATGCGAGAGGATATTGGAAGCCAGTGGAGTTGCCGCATGTGTGGTTGAATGTGGTCATGTTTCTTTGATTTAAAAATGAGTCTGCATGCTGAGTTCTGTGCCTTCTGAAGTTTTTCTATGTGGTGTTGAGGAATGCCTGAGAGAAGAATGTTACAGTAGTCAAATTTTGAAAGAATGAGTGAAGAGACGAGAGTTTTTGTGGCATCAAAGGAGAGGAGGTGTCTAATGGTGCTGATTTTTCTAATTTCGTTATATGCTGATCTGCATATATTCGTGACATGTTTGTCCATGGAGAGGGTGTCCGTAAGCGTGACTCCAAGGTTTCTGGCAGAGGGAGAGAGTGTGATGTCAGAGTTGCCAATAGATATAGAAGAAGGAGCGAATGGAGGGAGAGGTTTGTTTTGAGAGTGGATGAGAAGGATTTCCGTTTTATCATCATTTAGCTTCAGTTTGTTGCAAGTCATCCAACGCTTTACATCGTCCACGCACTCCTGCACTCCTCATATGAGGCCACCATTTTTGCGTGAGATAAAATGTGTATTATTTGATAGTTTCTACTAATATTTCAACTAAAATAAAAATCGATAAAAACAGATAATTTTTAGCAGCTTTTGGATCAGTCTGATAGATTATGTTGGCAATATCCGGGTCCCAATGCTGGCATCTTGTATAAAGTTATTTCACTCAAGATCCAAACATTAAATTATATCGCTGAAGCTTGGCTGCCGCCCGTCTGACTAGTAACTGTGCGTCGGGATCCGTAGACAAGAGTTACCTATGTACCGTTTTTACAGGGAAAGCATATTCACGGGAATGGCCAAACAATACATGGAGATGATTAACCATATTATTGTAATAAAATAATTTTAAAAAATTACATTTTCGAGCGAAGTAAACGATAATCAAAACTACCCCGCTCCCTCCGCAATCAGATTCCGTCGACACTAGTTTTCAATTACCTCCTATGACCGATTGCTTCCTCCTGACACCGATTACCTCCTCCTGTCTCCGATTAAATCCTCCTGTCACCGAGTAGCCCCGCCGGTCGCCAATAACTTTCAATTATTGAATCCTTTTATATATTCTCTCATCTTGTAGTCGGATCCATTTAATTATTGCAACTTATGAACTGATGTATTTTGTTTTATTATTCATTACACTAATTTCTCTCATCCTTATTTACAACAACATGTTTTATAACAATTAAAATCACGACAAACACCTGCCTTTGTTTACATGGGAGCCCATGCCGTTGCTTGGCAACAGGAAACGCTGGGATGGCCTCGGTGTTTGTGGGGGATCTCCATAGCGACGTCACCGAATCGGATATCTACAACAAATTTTCACAGATTGGAACGGTTTTATCCATAAAGGTAATTGATGAGATATGATTTGTTTAAACCATTATGTCAATCATACGGCCTGTTGGTTGTTATTGAGTAATAATAGGAAAACAATTTCTAATAAAGTTGATAATATGCAACCCGACTTGTATGAAAAGATTCAAATTATACAAAGACATCCAACTTGTTTTCAAGGAGCTATCGTATGCTCCACACATATAATAAGATACCCTTCTCGGGGATATTTCAGGTGTGTCGAGACGCCTCTACGGGCAAGTCACTAGGTTATGGATATGTGGTTTATCAAGATCCAGAAGATGGTAAGAAGGATATGAGTGGTTCTCAAGTAGTAGTACAATAACTTATCAATATTTAATTGTTATAGTTGGGGGAGGGGGGGCTTCTCTCCGTCTCTAAGAGAAGTAGTATCGCAACAACACCATCACCCCCCCCCCCCCCCCCAAAAAAAAAAAAAAAAAAAAAAAAACAAAAAAAAAACGCACTTTTTAAATAGATTTTTGTTTGTGTGTGAAAAATTTATTGTTTCTCGGTCAGCAGACCCAGCATTTTCAAGCGGCTAGTGAGCCAAAAGTTATTTCATATTAAATACTCGATACATGAGCGTAGCTTGGGGGGTTGTTGGAATTTTGTTTGGGTACCATGTCCTACTGCCTAAAGGACCCTATCTTAAGATGCTGATATAATACAACTGTCAACTGTACGAAGAATGTTTAGGGCTTTACACTCATTGCACATACTCAATTCCTCATTCTGCTCATTAATGTTCACAGCGGAGAGAGCGGTGGAAATGTTCAACTTTGACGTCATTCAGAATCAAAGCATCCGGGTGGTGATGGCGGACAAAGCCAGCCTGCAGCACTCCCTACAGGGAAATGTCTTTGTGAAAAACTTGGACCGCAGTGTGGACTCCAATCTGTTACACAGAGCATTTTCAGCGTATGGGAACATTTTGTCGTGCAAGGTACCATTTGATGATATATATTATGTTGTTGTTTATTTTTCGTTTAAAAATTGTTTTAAAGATACAATTTAAAAATATTTTTGAGTGTTAACAGACAATGGTATTTTTTTTTTTAATGATACATACTTTTTGCCATGCCTGCTGGAGAAATATCATTTTATATCCTACAGTGCAAACTTTAGTATTATAAAAAAGACTACCACGTGAACACCTGGTAGAAGCATTTATTTATGTTGACATCTTGTTGTTAAAATGTATGGGTAACCACAATAAGTTATACATTGAGTTTATATGTAGGGTCACATTCACCAAGGGACTCCAGATAGGCCTCCATGCATATCAAAAACAGACTAAACAACTACGAGTTAATTCCATAGGCAAAACTTTGGCTAAACTGATATCTAGGCCAGTGGCTCTCAACCTTCCTGATTCCTCGACTCTTTAATACAGTTCCTCATGTTGTGGTGACACCCAACCATAAAATTATTTTCGTTGCTACCTCATAAAAATGGCTTTCCGATGCTCTTGGGTGACCCTTTGTTTAACAGTCGTTCGATCCCCAAAAGGGTCGCAACCCACAGGTTGAGATTTGCTGATCTAGACTCACCACAAATACTTTTCCCACATAATGTTTTGACATAAAAAAACACCTTTCAAACACTTTGATCACGCCTTCGTCAAAACCTCGCCTTAGTTTACGTAGCCTCTTTGTATCCTTATGATTTATGTCACATACCCACTACACGCCATTTTGATATCCTACACACAGACACGTCATGCACGCTTTACTTATCCTAACACACCTTATAGATGCCCTCCAGTGGTCCTCTTGATCAGCGGCTGACGTTTCCCCATTTCAGGTCCCACATGGCAAGAAAGGTTCAAAATGCCATGGCTTTGTACAGTTTGAGAATGAACAAGCCGCTAATGCCGCCATCGATGGAATGAATGGAACCATGTTTTGTGGGAAAAAGCTGTAAGCTTGCTGGGGGTTACCCAAATTAGACTTCATAGTTAGTTGAATTAATTTTAACGCCAGGCTACGTCTTATGTTTACAAATATTTTGTAGGGGAAAGCTGTAAGCTTGCTGGGGTTTAATCCCATAATCCCATCATAATTAGTTGAATGTACTGTAACGTCAGGCTACGTCTATAAGGGAAGTGACGACTTCAAGGTATCTATCAAAGGCTTTACAATGATGGTTGAATCAAATCTATAAATATAACTAATAACACTTAAATATGTTTTGGGAAACGCCGAAATATGACGTCAACCCCACACCCCCCTACTACAATTTTGTTTAATTGACTGACTAATGATGTTACTATTTCATAGTCATTTTGGATTATGAAATCATTGTTCCTCATCTCAGTGTTTGCACGTGTCTTTGAGCTTCACTGTGTTAAAGGCTGTTGAATAAGCTGGCCGTTGTGATGCCCCTCCAATTGTTCGCACCATGACGCTACAGAATTTGGTGCATGTTTGTCGGTACTTAAAGTTATCTCATTTTTCTCTTCTGATTATAAATCGTTTAAAGCTGACACTATTTAAAATGTCTTGATATACTCCACTGACCACCATTTAGTTATGTCGGCCATTTCCTGAACCGTGAGCAGCGTGAACCCCCTGCGGAGACGCCCCCGTCATCTGGAACCTCGTCATCAAGCCTCCGGACCGTGTACATCAAAAATTTGGGGCACAGTGTTGATTCTATCTTTTTGAAAATTACCTGCTCACCTTATGGGGAGGTATCCAATGTCAAGGTCAGGAATCGGGGCAGTGGTTACTTTGTGAGATACTACTGTATTTTTTTACCCATTCATAGCGGCATTTGAAGATCAACAAAATAAAACTATGGCCCAGACCAGGCCTGCACAACCTACGGTCCGCGGGCCGCATGTGGCCGGCCAGCACCCACTTTTTGGCCCGCGAGGTAACAAAAAACTCTTTATTCTTATTATTTTCTTAATAGCTCTCTTCCCTGACCTATATTCTTTTGGTCCGCGCAAGTCCTGTCCTATTTTCTTTTGGCCCGCACAAGTTTTTCATAATGTATTACGGCCCGCCTTACATTTTGAGTTGTGCTGGCCTGGCCTAGACAAATCAATGAATATAATTCTTTAGATATGACAGGAAAGTATGTCGGGGTGGGGGGGTTAAGTAATTAATCGCGTGTTCAATTGCGCGCTAAATAAAACTACTGTTAACTGAGCTAAACGAATTTTTTAGAAATACATTCTTAATACAATCTGCGTTGTGAGAGGGGCTGAGACATTATAATATGAATATATTTCAAAGGGTAGCGGCGTACCTGGCCTGTGGGTGGGTGGTTGGGGGGGGGGGAGATGCAGCACAAACTTGGATTGTTATAAAGTGCGTTGACTTTAACGCATATTTAGAGATGTAACTTTTGTAGATGGGAAGTTATAACTACAGGTGAATCCGGTTATGCCAACGACCTTGGGGTTTGCCATAAAGCGTCTGGATAGCCGATGATCGAGATAAACGAAAACCAATGTAGCGGCAATATATGAAGATTTGCTTGAAATTTCTTTATGTACATGATGGGCATTAATAGATGCAGGTATTTCAGTTTAAAAAAAATAAAATGATATAATATTAGTTATTTAGAGTAAAATCAAATTTAAAGAATTAACTTTTTAACTTTAGTACGTTTTGAGCTACGAATTTTTAAAGTGCGAGTTCGTTTGGTATTTTCTACTTTGGACGAAGCCTCCACATTTTGTGACCTCATTCCGCAGTTCGTGTCTTGCGCAATGATTATATAGTTTATATAAGGAACCGCGTCCCGTTATTACTAAAATACGATTTAGGGACTACTTATTTTGAACTTTGAACTTTGGCACATGACTATTTAATTAAAGCTTTTCATGACCAATTTTTTAATAGCTTTTTCACACGGCAAACTCTTATGAATGAAACTCTGACGGCATAGCCATTCTACAAGTGACCGTGAACGGCTGCCCATGACAACGTTTGCACATGGCGAATTATGATCATTTATAATATGGACTCTACCGGGTTTTTAAACCTCGAATTAAAAGATATTTATTAAAAATTAATTCTGGGTTCATTTTAAACATGAAGCCCTGCATTGTGAGGCATACATAATTATTTTTAATTATGAACAACTTTTTTATTTGTTGTTTGCTATTTCTTCTTGCGGAGTTCAAAAGCTGGCGATTTGTCATGGGGATCAATATAGCCGAGGTTACGTTGCAAATTTGGTCACCTTTTGTGCTCGAGATATCAAAGTTCGGCGATGTAAACAATAATCGTCATGACCAAGGAGAAAATGCGAAGACAAAGAGATAATTTGTCGATTCCACTTCAAAAAACATCGACATAACAGGGGGTTGGCGAGTTAACCGAGGTCGAAATAAGCGGGCTCGACTGTGGTGACAAAATGAAACTTCTTCCCATCAATTCTACGAATAACTGAACCGTCTTTTGTTTTCTTTCTGTTTAGATAATCCGTGACACGGATGGATCCTCCAAAGGTTTCGCGTTCGTAACGTTCAAGAGAGTAGAAGAAGCTGTGAAGGTATGTGTCGTAGAGCTAGCCGAATTAATGATACAAAGGTGTACTTAATCACACTGCTGTTACGTGAACTGAAGCGAACACAAGGTTAAATGAGGGGGAGAATAATGAACCCAAAGGTGGAATTGGGTTGGTGAATGGGGGGAAGAATACATTAAAACTAAGTGCCCCCCATTACAGGAAGGAGACAAATTTAATGGTGTTGGGGAAACCAGGGCAAATTTTATAAATTACCGTGCAATAGAGCAAAATATCAAAATTATTATATAACCTTCTAGCGTCGCTTAAAAATTATTTAAGAAGCTAGTAAAGAGATAGTATTTAGAGTTGCGCATTTTAATGAACTCTCCGCTAAGAAAGGGTAATACAAAATAAAATAAAGATTTTAGTGATGACATTCGACGTCGTGATTGGAAAATATGCAATCCTGGTGTTGCTAATAAAATTATGGTTAAGTAATAAATGTATTGTGTGAAACACGGAACATCGAGGTGAGGAGAAACATGGAACATCGTGGTGAGGAGAAACATGGAAATGGTGATGTGGCGCCTGTCATTTCGATGAAGCACATGCCATTGTGGTTGTGTCAAATGGCATATCTGAAGGACACAATATATCATGGTATACACACATGACATTATTTTGGGGACACAGGACACCGTGGTGGGGTACACAGGAATAAGTGGTTGGAGGACACAGCTCATAATGGTGGGGTACACAGGAATGAGTGGTTGGAGGACACAGCAAATACTGGTGGGGTACACAGGAATAAGTGGTTGGAGGACACAGTACATAATGGTGGGGTACACAGGAATGAGTGGTTGGAGGACACAGCTCATAATGGTGGGGTACACAGGAATATGTGGTTGTAGGACACAGCTCATAATCGTGGGGTACACAGGAATATGTGGTTGGACGACACAGCAAATAATGGTGGAGTACACAGGAATAAGTGGTTGGAGGACACAGTACATAATGGTGGGGTACACAGGACTTAGTGGTTGGAGGACACAGCACATAATGGTGGGGTACACAGGAATATGTGGTTGGAGGACACAGCACATAATGGTGGGGTACACAGGAATAAGTGGTTGGAGGACACAGCAAATAATGGTGGGGTACACAGGAATATGTGGTTTGAGGACACAGCACATAATGGTGGGGTACACAGGAATATGTGGTTGGAGGACACAGTACATAATGGTGGGGTACACAGGACACGTTTTAAAGTACACAGAGTAACCGAGTGAGGAGAGCTTATTTTGTCTTATTTACGTGAAAGTTTGGTGAAGCATTAAGCGCTCATTAGAAAGTAGCTACATTTCTAAGGCTAAGTGTAAAATCAGTGTTGTCTCTTGGATTCAAAGATTTGACTATATTGTTATTTACAGGCCATAGAGATGCTTAACGGCAAGGAGATCGATGGGCGAATTCTATTTGCTGGACCTGCCATGAAGAAATCAGGGCGCAAGAGCCACCTTCAGCATCCATCCCAAGGTCACGAACAGCATCCTCTCCAAGGTCACGAGTTCAAGGAAATCATTATTGAAGATGAACCCAACTTCGAGATAAAAAACTGCCAGAGCCACCCCGAGCAAAAACCACACCACCAACTCAATCATCACCGACAACAGCAACAACAACATACGCAAATCATAACTGTAAAAAGCAATATGTTTCCAGCAATGCCCTCGCAAAAACACCAGCAAAGCCAGCAGACGGCGAATCTGTTTGTACAGCAGCTGGCCTTTCAAAACAGTCCATACAGTTCCATGGGTGCAGTCCAGCTGCCTGGTATTGGATCCACACTTCAAGACAGTCTAGACGGCAACACGGTGGTTGTCTTACCACAGATTCACCAGGGCCATGTCTACCTGCAGCCACAGCAGGAGACCTGCAACACTCCAGTACAGATCAGCCTGGACCAACAAGACAGCAGCTCTTTGGCTGGCTACGAGCAAGTACAGCAGCAGTCTGGCCTCCCAGAGTCACAGCAAGTACACACAGGTAATGACAGCTCAACAGCTACAACTTCCCAGGGAGTGAACCTCTACGTCAAACACTTGGATGATGATGTCGATGATGCCATACTGAAAGGGATGTTCTCAAAATTTGGAGAAGTCATCAGTGCAAAGGTACGAAGCAATTCTCCTCGCCCACACACACAAACACACGCAATAATGACTTTTACCGGTTCACTGAGACACACTTGGATGTCAGTATCTTGAGTGACCTGTGAAGATGATAGTCACTGCAGGCTACTTTTAATAGTAACAAGGAACGAAGATTAGTCAGTTATAAATAAAATATGTCTTCGTCAGACTTTTTTTTTCCATATAATCCATTATCGCATTTAACCTTAATTTAAATTCATTTCACGTATTGAAAAGCAAACCTTTTATTTTTGCTACTTAGTAGTCAGTCAACCTTATAAGTGGTAAGATGAATGGTGTTTGATTTGATCCCCCCCCCCAAAAAAAAAAAAAACCAAAAAAAAAAACCAATGCTCGCATAACTCACTGGAGGCGAGAAATGTAACAACTTTCTTTTAAGTAATTGTTTTTTGCTACTTAGTAGTCAGTCAACATTAAAAGGGGAAAAATAAATGTTGTTTAATTTGACCCCCCCCCCCAAAAAAAAAAAAAACCAAAAAAAAAAACCAATGCTCGCATAACTCACTGGAGGCGAGAAATGTAACAACTTTCTTTTAAGTAATTGAACATAAATAAACTGTTGGTTTCTAAACCAAATTAAAAGCCATTAAATTTCATAAGTAAGCATTGATAAGAAAATAGAAAATATGGCAACCAATCAAATTTTTTAAAAAATGGGTTTTATCTACAACAATTAAATATTTTACTTATTGTTGAAATTGTACTTACGAAATATAAATAATGAAACATAAATAAATTTTAAAAAAAGTATAAATAAATGTAACTTGTGTCTCTTAGGTCATGATGGAAGGCGAGAAATCACGTGGCTTTGGCTTTGTTTGTTTTGCACGCGCCGAAGATGCCGCACGAGCCACCAGAGACATGCGCAGAAGAGTAGATGATGTTAACAGGAAGCCATTGTACGTTGCACCCGCTCAGAGAAAGGAAGAGAGGCAAGCGTTCTTCCGCGAGAAACTAAAATCCAGACAGAACGAGATTCACACCGGGGACGTGGACACGAGTCAAAAATGCATCACGCTCCTTGATGGTTCCAAAACCCACGAGCCTCAGACTGTGCCTCACCATGACGAACAAATGGCCTTGAACCTTCCCGGGGGAGACAGCTCCAACACCACGTTTACACCCAATCATTTAAAACAAAGTGAGCCGACCAAACTCAATGAGGCACCCACCCATACAGGGAACTCGCCCGCCCAGCAGACAGATCAAACTTTGTCTGACAACCAGAGCATCCACAACAATAAATTCCAAAGCATCTTTCGGTCCATCGAAAAGCGCAATAATTTTTACAACTTTGAATGTTTTAACGTGGAGAACTTGAGGACGCCGCTGATAAAACCGACCCGGTTGTCGAATTCAACGGACGACCGAAGCCTGAGCTCCCACAACCGCGCGGAGACGGATACCAGCCGCTGGTTTCCGTTTCACGTTGGCGGGGATAGCGATCACATGTCCACTTCTGATTCTGTACTAAACAGCATAAATGCGATGCTCTCGCCAAGACTTTCTGATCATTCAAAACGGCACGGCGAGATATTACCAAAAAGATCAACCTCTCCGTGGAAAACCACTGAATGTAAAGACGCTTCTAATACATACGGGAAATCTAACTGTATCTCAAACTCAAATGAAGAACATGTCAGATTTTTAGCTCCCATCGGCTGTAAGCAGAGTTCGCAGGAAAAAGAGCCCAAAATGTCAGGCAAATCCTCCGTTGACAAACCGCGACCAAACCAAAACTTCAATTTTCGACCCAGGCCCAACACCAGACTCGCCCCTCACGTGTCCGAGAGCAAGGGAGATTGCAACCTACTTGCCCCCTCCCAACTTGACACACAGCCCAGGGGGGAAGGCGTCTTCTACTTTTCTGGATCCGCCCAAAACATACCGAGCTGCTACAGCACCAAGAAAGATTTCCCCACATTTGAAGGTCTTTACGATCCACAGAACGCCATTCCGTTTTCCAGGAGTGTCCTTTCAGAGAACGCCATACCACCATCAAGAAATTTTCCTTCCCAAAACGCAGTCCCCTTTTCTCATAGTACAGCCTTCTCCGACACAGAACCCTACACCGTATCAGAAAGCTCAATGTTCCACCAAAAGTTGAAGCGTGTTAACGCTAGTATCGATACTCTCCTGCCACTGGAACCGTTGAAGAATTCCCGCACAAGAACGGCAAGCAATCCTCTGGAGACGGGCTCTCGTCGATCGATGCAGGCCCTTAAACGGAAGAGCGATACTGCCTTTGACCTTGACCATGAGGACTACGGTTTTGGTTTGAGTAATCATTGGGGCGCCAAAAGACGAATGGTGGCACCATCACTTCGAAATGATCAGTATTCTGAGGTAGGAGGTGCTTATGTTTCGTCAAATAAGGGGAAAACGAAAACCTTATTACCTAGAAATATTACCTAGCATGATCTAGGAATAGCTATTACCTTTTAACTATTGCCTATTCTGATGTAGAAAGAACTGTTACCTATTATGATGTAGAAAGAACTGTTACCTATTATGATGTAGAAAGAACTGTTACCTATTCTGAGGTAGAGAAAGAACTATTAGGTAGTCTGATGTTGAAAGAGCTATTATCTATTCTGGTGTATGTATATATATATATATATATATATATATATATATACGAATAGATATTACCTATTAAATATTACCTATTGTGATGTAAAAAGAAATCTTACCTATTCTGATGTAGCAAGAACTATTAGGTAGTCTGATGCAAACAAAGCTATTACCTACTCTGGTTTATGAATAGCTATTACCCATTAACTATTGCCTATTCTGATATAGAAAGAACTCTTACTTACTCTGATATAGGAAGACTTACTACCCATGAACTATTACCTATGATGATGTAGAAAGAACTTTGACCTATTCTTATGTAGTCATAAATCATTCTTCGGCTAGTGTTAGAATGGATGAACTCTTCCTCTGGGGAAGAAGAAACGTATATTTCTTCTTATGTAGGATCGTGTTTATTTAAGTATGCAGAACTACAGGTTTTGTGATATACTAAGCACATATACTTCTTCTAAGGTGGGAGGGAGTAATGCTTTTTCAGGCTAAGAAAAAACTTTTATTAATTCAACCCCGTATTGAATTTCTTAAAGTTTTCTTGCATGATCTAACAAGTATTAGAATGGCGTTGCAACTACCATATAATTTAATATTTTTTTTTGCATAAATTTTTATTTTAGAACGATTTGAAATAATTGCCATAAATTTAATGATGGGTCGAATTTTAATAATAGCTTTCAATGTAATCGTTAATTGCATCAACACAAAACATAATCACATTATTAGTCTTTACTAAAGAGAACGTAAGATTATTCAGATTGAAAAGACAATTGTTGGCACATGTTTGCCAACTTAGGTCAGACCCTGTTCTCCGACGATTGACATACCCGGACAAGGTGTCATTAGTCTGCGGACCATGTCGTGCTGGCCAGTGGACCAGCAAAAGTTTATTCTTCTGGAGCCCCTGAAGACTAAGCTTACTGATGTCCTAGAGGGAATGTTGCACGAATCTACTGTACAAGAAATGTGGGTTCGTTAATATAATGTGTCATTGGCTCCTGCATGTTGTAGGTTTGGTATAGGGAATGTTGTATTGGACTAGATTGTAAGGACTGGGGGTAGAACTGTGAAATGTTTACTGGGTTTGTATTTTCATTGAAAGATGTTTGTAACTTGAAAGTAGTGTGCTGGTATGTTTGTAACTTGAAAGTGGTGTGCTGGGATGTTTGTAACTCGAAATTCTAAGTGTGCTGGGATGTTTGTAGCTTGAAAGTCTCAGTGTGCTGAGATGTTTGTAATTTAAAAGTTTTAGTGTGCTGGGATGTTTGTAGCTTGAAAGTCTTAGTGTGCTGGGATGTTTGTAACTTGAATGTCTTAGTGTGCTGGGATGTTTGTAACTTGAAAGTCTTAGTGGGCTGGGATGTGTGTAACTTGAAAGTCTTAGTGTGCTGGGATGTGTGTAACTTGAAAGTCTTAGTGTGCTGGGATGTGTGTAACTTGAAAGTCTTAGTGTGCTGGGATGTTTGTAACTTGAAAGTCTTAGTGTGCTGGGATGTTTGTAACTTGAAAGTCTTAGTGTGCTTGGATGTGTGTAACTTGAAAGTCTTAGTGTGCTGGGATGTTTGTAACTTGAATGTCTTAGTGTGCTGGGATGTGTGTAACTTGAAAGTCTTCATGTGCTGGGATGTTTGTAACTTGAAAGTCTTAGTGTGCTGGGATGTTTGTAACTTGAAAGTCTTAGTGTGCTGGGATGTGTGTAACTTGAAAGTCTTAGTGTGCTGGGATGTTTGTAACTTGAAAGTCTTAGTGTGCTGGGATGTGTGTAACTTGAAAGTTTTAGTGTGCTGGGATGTGTGTAACTTGAAAGTCTTAGTGTGCTGGGATGTTTGTAACAAGTGCGAGGTTTCCCCAGAGACGTCGATACTCTTTTAAAAAAATAAGTTTATTGGTGTTTTCTTACATAACCATCTACAAATCCAAAGTATTCTGACATTACCAAATAGGGATATAATTATTATTTTCTTCTACAGTTGGAACCAGGAGTTGAGCGCGATGACACAGGAGGATGTCCGAATGAAGGAAATGATCAGTTCGCTAACTGACCGCCTCGTAACGATGATAATGGAAATGGATGTGGCCGAGATTCTCAACCTACTGCAGTCTAAGGACCACCTTTTTTACTTGGTAAGAAGCCTTATGGTTTCCGGCATGTATGTACGCTTAAGCTTACAATCTTCACTATAGGATCACGTCGTTGCGTGACATCTAATGTTGTTGAAACATGGCAGGCACTATGCACCAAAAAAAAAATAATAATAATTACAAAAATAAGATGCTTTACTTGTTAATTGCAAATATTTTAAAAAAAAATTGTAATCCAGTTTTTCTATAAACAGGTTTCGCAGGGTCTGAAACAGATTGAAAAATTCGATAATGTGGGCGGGGCGAATCTGTCCGTCAACAAGAAGAAAGAGGAAATGGACACAGAGTGTCATCTACCCGATCAGAACATCTTTGAAACTGGATGCGCCAACGATCAATAAATCATCGTTTCTTCTTTTTTTCTGCTGTACCGATTGTGTTCAATGCCAACAGATGTCTGTACCGATTGTGTTCAGTGCCAACCGATGTCTGTACCGATTGTGTTCAATGCCAACCGATGTCTGTACCGATTGTGTTCAGTGCCAACCGATGTCTGTACCGATTGTGTTCAATGCCAACCGATGTCTGTACCGATTGTGTTCAGCGCCAACCGATGTCTGTACCGATTGTGTTCAATGCCAACCGATGTAGTCCATTGACCTCTAACGAATAGAGTTTAGGGCTGAGAGTTTAAAAAAAAAATCATTATCGTTTACTTTATTAAATCTTCTTCTAACATTTGAATTTGTAAAGGAATGTGACGTCTAAATTTCATATAGATTACATCGAATTCCTCTGTAATGTGCACATGTTTTCAAAGAAATTAAGATGAGTTAAATTGACATGGATATATCAAGATAGAGGGCGAATTACATTGATCAGTCCAAAGAGAGGTAATCTCCCAAATCAGAACCGCATTATTGTTCATGAATATATGAGAAAGATTTAATACGAGTCACGACGTTACTTTGGCATTTTATAAATCCTGGCCACTTCCCAGCCATCCTAGTAGTTATCGTCACTTACCATTCATACCGTATAGGACTGTTGGGTAGTTAAAGGTTTTATTCCCATTCACTAACCAGTAAAGAAAATGAAGTTTATGAGTATTATTCAACTCTAAACGAAAAGATTTAAAGAGGAAAAAAACAACAACAACACTTAAGGATTCATTTCGTTTCGTGGAGCCCTCTTACAAACGCAACTGTCTTCAATCATAGCAATCGCAGAGATTCCCTCTTCTATTTATCTATTTATACAGAGAAGTGAGAATTGAGAACTAAAGATAAAAAAAAATTAAAAAAACAACAACTGCATTTCAGTTACTTACTGCATGCATATTAATATTGGCATAAAGGAGACTTTTTTTTCAAAATTGAATGATTTCCTAATTAAAATGTAGGATTTATTTTAAAATATCAAAGTTTTTATTTAAGTAAAATGATTTTAAGGCAATGTTAGTTATCGTAAAATATAGTTTTATAGATTAAATTCTAAAGGAGCAATTAATTATTTAACAACGTATCTATTTGTAAGACAACTCCAGTTTATACGTCATTTTTAAAATGAATATTCCTTAAAGATATTTTTGTTTAGCTTTTCAATATGCAAGCCCCTCGATTTTCCACTTGTGATTTGTAATTTAAGGTCGAGTACTTAATGTTTAAGACTGTTTGAACTGTCTTGAAATTCTACTCTATTTGCACCTGCTGTTACGGGCTGATTCAGCCGTTAGTAGTGGATCACGTAGACACCCTCTCATTTCAAACATGCTCGCCTGTTGAAAACAATGCCATCCTGTGACGTCAAACTGGACAAGCTCCACAATTCTTAGAATGCAAGCTATTTTTGACCATTATTTGACTCGTACTCGTAGTTTTAAAATGAAATTTAAAAAAAAAAAAGAAAACAAAAAACTCGGGGTTTTATAAAGATCTTCAATGTCAGAAAAACAACACAACGTTTGATAATTAAACAAATTGAATCGAATTTTCAAAAAACGTCTTTTTCTTTGGTCTCCAACACAGTAATTATCTATTTTAGTTAGGCATGGAGGATAGTTTGAGAAAATGGAATTATTTCGTTTGTGTTTATGATTTATTACTGACCAATAGTTACCTCCATGCCGTTCACGTGTGATCTTTTCTAGGTCAATGTAACCTCTCAATCATTTTCCAGGGCAGTGGTCGGCAAACTCATTAGACAAAAGAGCCAAACATCAGCACCACGACCATTAAAAACTTTTTTTTGTTTTGAGAGCCCAATTTCTTTTCAAGAACCTGTCAAGAACAATGTTTTTCGGAGCCAAACCCGATTTTAGGCCGAAAGGCCGAGCCGCACTCAGGTCGCTAAAGAGCCGACCATGGGGCTAGGGTGATGAAACGGAAGATATTTTGGTTTTGCTATGTTAACGATGCTAGGATGCATTGGAATGTGAGGAAGGGTGTCAAAGTGACAGAGAGATGAGGTGTTACATGGCTTCGAGCCAGTCTGGGTCTCTTCAGATATTCCAAGTCTTTGGGAATCATCACACTCGCGGCAGTAATGCCCTGACATTATCAGTTCTTATCCATGCAAATGACTGGTATTGCTCCAAAGTGGCACTTCTCATTTGTTCAATGAACAGTACTGGCTGAGTACTTGGCTTTCCAGGGCTAAGTGGAGATTGGCTCTATCTATAATCTCAACAGCCACTGACCTAATTAAAGTGTCTTGGAATCAAGTTGGGTGCAAGCATGGGGCTTTCACCCGTTGGGTCCAAGCATGGGGCTTTCACCCGTTGGGTCCAAGCATGGGGCTTTCACCAGTTGGGTCCAAGCATGGGGCTTTCACCAGTTGGGTCCAAGCATGGGGCTTTCACCAGTCGGGTCGAAAAATGGGGCTTTCACCAGTGGGATAGAAAAATGGGCTTTCACCAGTTGGGTCCGAACATGGGAAATCAGGCGTAATGAAATTTAAAACATTCGCCACATATAACAAACAAACTAAAATAGAAATAACAAAACAAAGAAACAAAACTCAAAAATATTTGTACACATCTCGGTAAACATGTTTATGTTCTCTTATTTGTTTTGTTTTTTTTTTTAAATAAAAGTATTAGCTCCTGCGAAAGAAAGACCAAACACAAATAAATATAAATTGAAACATGTTGGTTGCTTTGAGGAGGGATCATCTCTTTAGAGAAGAGAAGTTCTCGTGGACAGATTGACACAGGAACATGTCACAATTAGCAAACTACTTCACTCTCAGCCTCTCACTAAAGCCGGACCTGGATGCTGTTAGACAACATGTCACGGACAAAAAGGGAGTCAGTAAGGAATTAACATGGCACAAGGGGGTCAGCTGGGAAATAATATGAAATAAGGGGGTTAGCTACGAATTAATATGAAATCAGCTATGACTTAACATGACATAAGAGGTTCAGCTATGAATTAAGATGACAATAACAAGTTAATTTTACTATTATTTGTTTCTTCGATAAGATTATTTAAAACGATCATATTGAGAAGGTAATACAGTTCGTCTGCCCTGATCCAATGTCGATGAATATCTGAATTTTCGATACATCACTGGACTGCGTTAATCAGCCTTAGGTTTGAGGTGCACATATTATTTATTAGTCAAAATACATAAAAACAAATAAATAATGAACTTACACCAACAAAATTGAAACACACGTCTTGAGGTATTCTTCCATAAACTGTTTCCTTCTTGCAAAGCGAGTCATGAGAAATGACTTGGGGCTCAATTCATATGATCCCGTTATCATCCAATTGTCAAATTTTTGAATGAAGGCACTATTGTACAAACAAAAATATTGCGTTCATTCAAAAATTTGACGAAAGTTTGATCGTGTGAACTAAGTGTGAACAGGTTTTGTACACATGCACATAAATAGCTCCTCATAAAGAAAATATTGTATACGTAGCTCAAGTAACGCAAAAGTATCTGAAACGGAAAGTTTCTAGAAGACCCACTAGACTGCTTATAAATGTTTCAGGTAACATATTTATAAACACGATTCATCGTCCCAGTGTCATCACGCAGCTGTTGAGTTTTAACACTTAATTACAAAAAAAAATAAAAATATTTGGCTTCTCAAAGAAATGTTTATCTAAAATTACCTAGATATAATCCATGGCGGGCCACGAAATAAAACAATCCAAAAGGTTATGGGTAAACAAACATTAATCGGAGTACCGCTCCTCTACATCTGACTTTCCAATCTACCTTGCGATCAAATCAGGTCACTTATCGGTTTGCGGCAAAAAATTTGGATGCTAACACATGACAGTGCAACTATGGTATTGAAGCTAACATTAATATTTTTTAAAAAATCTACTGAAGCGAGTTTTAACGTATTGGCGACACCTTTGTTCTCCTTTTCCACCTGGTGGTTGTGACCGAAAATTCTTTTGAGGGTTCTTTAATAAAAGACATAAATTTAAAAAAAAATCAATTTTTGTCTTAAAAAACTAAAGCGCATGTTTGCAGTTGTTATTCTTTTGTATTGAAATAATCCGGAAAGGAAATCCTAAAATCCACGCAGAATAAAAAAAATAAAACAATTGTCTCTGCGTCACTTCCGTCCAGTTCAAAAAATATTATCATGCAATTTTGGCAACATGTGAGAAAAAAAATCTCTTGACCAGAACTGCTGGAAATACAATTTAAAAGCTTGTAAAAGTGTATTGAACTCCAAGCTCACTCAGATCTATTTTGGCATATTTCCATGAAGTTGACTTAGATAAAGACATTTAAGCTTCAAACGCCAATCCAGAGTTCCTTAGGTATGTGTGTATGTGATTCATTTGATGTCACATTCTTCAGCAGCATAAACTTCGACATAGTCAATAAATATCTGGAGATATCCAAATGGGGTTTATTGTTTATTGGTAAATTGGCAGTAGTGAAACAGCCTACTTATAAAACACTGCCCTCAAAATGACGGATCTGAATTTTCCCAGTGGTGCTGAAATGATTACATTCTACACCCCCCGGGTATTTCAGTTACGCCTCGAATTCCGTGTCCAATGCGTCTGCCAGCTCATCAGGTGGACGTAACTCTATCTGAAAGTTATGAAGCTTCCCTTCCGACTTGAGTTGTCTGGAGTACATGTTGAACGCGGCGCCTAGCGACAGCGCCATCTTTCGGCCGTTGTGAGCGGAGTCGCACAGGAACGCGTGGCAGGTGGCCGACCGCGTCCGGCTTCTGGAGGCAAGCTCGCTGACGATAATGCAGGTAAACACGCGCCAGTATTTGATGTCTTGGACGCCGTAGGAGATGAAGTCTATAGGCAGGAGTCCCACGGGGGCCACTCCGGCAACTTTGTTACTTTTGTGTTCTCGCAGGTCAATGCCCTTGGGGGAGACCACGACGTAGAGAAGCGGCAGTTCCGTCTGTAAGTAGAAACAAGAAAATTTAACTTTTTTTTTTTTTTTGCTTGTTAAAGCAACGATCTTCTGTTGAGTTGCGTCACTACGCATAGCTGAACTATTGTTTAACAAAGTCTTTTTCAAAGGAAAGTTATGTCACTATAGTGTTATTCTGATTCCAAATAGTAATGCACTAATTTTTAGACAAGATTAGACCCTTTTATAAAATATTAAAAGCCTCTTTTAAAATTAAGTGTAATATGGTTAGGACTGAGTTCGGGTTGAAACAATATGAAATATAACACAGCGTAGGGCAAATCCTAAAATATAACACAGAGTAGGGGGAAACCTGAGATATAACAGAGTAGGGGGAAACCTGCAATATAACAAACGGAGTACGCGAAAATCTGAAACATATAACACAGAGTCGGGAAAAAGTTGCAAGCTTTTTCACTTGGTCTAAATACGCCACTGAGATTTACCTTAGCTTTCTCCTCCATCTCAGTCCTAATAGCTTTGACCATCTCGTCCACTGGCTGGCGGACATGATGAAGACCACAAACTCCATTTACCGGACGTTGTCCGAGATATTTGACCACAAACACCTGGGGAAGTCTGCCGACCACGACTGCAGAAAACTCGGATCTGTTAGGGAGGAAACAATCCAAGACGTGTATGCTTAAAACTGCGGTAAACTTATTAGATAATTATTATGGAAAATGTAATAGCAATACAAAAACTATGAAATATATATATATGTTGTTTGTTTTTAAACTTCTGAGAAAAAATATACACCTGAATAATTTAAAGCTTTACATCAGTGAACATATATGCATTTGGAATAACTTTGTTTTACATCTACGACTATCTTCATAAAAATGCCACAAGTTTTCCCCTCGATAAAATTTTACAATGCAGGATCTACAAGAATACATCAGGAGCAGATTTGTTTGCCCTCCCCGCCCTCATTGCG